GAAAAACCTGAAGCCATAAAGAGATCTTGTCTCCGCAGACACTCGAGCTGATACGTCAACGTGGAATCGCACGAGCTACAGGCAACCAAAACCTTACGTTCAAACTTGCGAAACGCTGCAGAAAAGTGATAGAAGAACATCAAAAAAAAGAAGAGCAGCAGTTATGGCAGAAGCTGCAGAAGCTGGGAAGAGCATTCGCAAAGCCCAGTGAAGCTTTGCCAATTACAAGACCAAGATGATTGCACTCCGACATACTGACGGGACACTTACAGCCTCGAGAAGGGCTATGGAGAAAGTCATCCACCAATACTACTCGGATCTCTTCGCTAGCCATGTCCTCTTACCGTCATATAAATTGAAAGAGGACGAAAATGTCGTCCCACCGGGCCTCCCTTCCGAAATCCGACATGCAAAATCGTCGGTGAAAAACAGAACAGCACCCGGTCCAGACAGGATTGGACCAGAACACCTGAAGAATCTGCCGCCAGTTCTCATCAACACCCTGGCTTGGCTTCGCTCCCTACCTGTCAGAATGCAAGGTTCAAATTTAGTGGAAAACCAACAAGACCGTATTGTTGTTCAAAAAGAGAGATCATCACGACATAGACAGATATCGCCCAGTCTGCTTGCTGTCCGATGTCTATAAACTCTTCACTCGAGTTATCCTAAACAGAATTGACAGAATACTGGACGATGGACAGCCACGCAAATAAACAGGGTTCCGAAAAGGACTTAGTGCCGTAGTCCACATCCACATAACTGCAAGACTCATTGAAGTTCTACAAGAATACAAGATGCCGCTGCCTTACTTTCATCGATTGAAGAATGCTTTTGATTCAGTGGAAGCAGAAGTGGTTATTAGAGGCTCTGGATAACCAGGCGTCCCTACTTGATACATCCCGACCCTTCGTAAGCTATATGAAAATTTCGCGGCTAAAATTTGCCATTATACATCAACATCTGCATTGACGTAAAAGAGGGGGTTCGCAAAGGCGATAGAATTTCGCCAAAATCATTCACTGCCACGCTACAAAGTGTCATGCGACATTAGAATGGGGCGACATGGGAATGAAAATCGGCAATTTACAATCAAACCACCTTCGCATCGTTAATGATATCGTCCTCATAAGGGCCAAGCATCAGCCAAGCAGAACGAATGTTGACCGATTTTGATCTTCAACTTAATCTAACGAAAACGATGGTCATGAAAAACGGGTGGGGTTTGAATGCCCCATTCGCGCTCAACGGAAAGAAAGTTCCGAATGCTCCAGTTACGTCTATCTAGATCGTGATTCCAACATTATGAACGGCCTAGCTCTAGAGTTCAGCAGGCAGAAACGAGCGGCTTGATGAACGTTTTAGAGCGTCGAGGATGTAGTGAAGAAGGCCAAGAACATCCGACTCCGTGCCCACCTTTTCACCAAACACACAGTGTTGTGCACTCGATTGCTCATGGCTGGTATATTCAATACATCAAATCTTTCGTTTTAAGTGTTTTCTTAAGACCACAGCTGAGATTTCAATATGCTTGGCTTAAAAATGATTATTCGGCATAGGAGAATTTGAGCTGTGGTCTTAAGAAAACACTCGAAACGAAAGATATGATATATTGATTTTACCAGCCATAAGCATCGGGTGTACAACATTCTGCATTCGGTGATAATTTCACTGAACATAGAGTGTAAAACGTTTGTCGTTGCTACCTCTTGGCTTGGGTCTAAAGCACCCACAGAGGATTGGCAAAAGACGAGGAAGGGTAACTGCCCGACTGACGAGACTGCAAGGTCGAAACACGTGTATTGGGCTCTATAAGTCAGCCTTTTTTAGCGTACCACATGACGTGCATGGATGACTCAAAAATGATTATTCGGCATATAGACTTTTCGTTAGACTTCGAATAACCATTCGATAGTTGAAAAGATTCTGTTTCTGATAGTATTCTTGGCTTTCTGAAACACCTTTTCAGCAAGCTGTAGCAACGAAGAGAAAACTGCGTTCTTTTCTCCGGAGTGTACAGTGTGATTTGCACTCTTGCTCACATGGTCTTTTCACAAAGCAAAGTTTTTCACCACAGTTTTAGTATTTATTGGACAGCTTGTAAGATGATGATTTTAAATATGCACTTAGTTTTTGGACTAAATCACAAATGTAGGTTTTTTCTAGTGATGTAAAAACGTTGAACAAAAACTACGTTTTGCTTCCGGAGTGCTTTGAGTGCTTCGCTATCGCTAATGCCTGGCCTACAGTAGAGTTTTGATAATCGTTATAGAGTTCGAGAAGTGTAGATTTTATAAAATTTTGGCTTTTTTGAATCAATTTTTAGTGCCCTGAAACAAGGGAATTAAGATTACACTTTACACTCTGAGTGAGCACCTAGTCTCTTTGAGCTTCGAAGTGAGAGTTGTGATGACTGTATAGTGAAATTCGTACCCCAGAGACAATTTATGATCAGAAAGAGTGATATGTTATTAAAGGCCTTGTACAAAAGTTTTTTTTTTGTGAAAAAAAAGTCCACATGTTCGAAAATTCCCACCTTCAATACCAAGGTGAAATAGAGGGAAACATAACGCATCTTCATCACTTACTCCTTATTCTTGGCGATATGCAACAGTGCAAAGCTAGAACGAATTTCTTTTATTTATGGCTCATTCAAGAAGCTCGCGTGGTGTGACTTTAGCACGCAGTGGAATAAGCTTCATGAAGCCCAAAATCATCAATTTTTTGAGTACTTCCCTTGAAGAGATTGCATATTCCTCATCCGAATTTTTTCAAACCTTTCATTGATGTTGATAAACTCCTAATAAGCCACGACACAATCCTCGCCTAATAACACATCCCAATGGGCAGTTTTGAAACAACGTGAACAAATATACTGTTTACACATCGTGCTTACTCATTTAGTTTGGTTTGAGCATAAGCAGTATTCACAGTATTATTAATTACTTATAACATCCAATACAACGTCCACGACGTGGCAAAGTGACTTCAAGATTACACCTGAATGTTGGCTGTGAAGCGACATGATTTGGTAAGTATTTGAGAAGAACATCTATCTTAAAATCAGTGAACAAAATTTTTTACACAGTCTTTGTAGATTTATCACACGTTCACCAGGCACATATGCGCCACCAGTTGGAAGAACAGACAGATGTACCTGAAGTGAAATTAGATATTGCGAAGCAATATCGCAGCCAAATGTACTCACCATTTACGTCTCTTCCTGGTGCATGAGCAATAGGCAGCCATTTGGTCAAAGAAATCGACGAGCAACTTGTTCTTGTTGTAACTTTGCATGACCTCATACTCCTAAAAGAGGCTAGAAGGCAGATGCCTACTCCATTAAGGTGTGGAAGCTTGACAATGCTCATTTGCATACACAAAGCTTTGAATATTTTCATTTTTTCCACAGTGGTACCCTCTCAATCTCGTTCTTTTGAGTGCCATAGATACTTGTCTGCTCCACAATCAACTCTCGAAGATCGATCATGAGCAGTTACAATGATAAAAGGGGTAGCCTGCTAAAAGGGGATACTTACTAGTTTTCCTAAATACGATCGACCCTTCCTGCACAAAAATTTTCTTCAATCCGTAGCTTTCCATATTCCTCGTGTGCATTATTATATAGATTATTAGAAATAAACTAATCCCTGCTACAAAAACTTGGTTATGATAAATGACCTGACATCTCATGCATTATGCAGCAGCTTCTTTCGACACACTGTTCATTGTTTTACATTTTCCAGTCACTATAATAACTCCTACGGGTTGCTTATAACATAATATATCAAAATTGATCGACTTACGTCATTATATACTTTGCACAACTTGCTAGAACTGACAAAATGCCAACATCACTGTGATTTCGTAGCAAAAGGGTGTTTTTCTTTTGAACAGAAGCGCCATATTTGCATCAAAAGCATACGAGTGTGGACAGAAAATCTTGAAATATCGAAGTGTTACAAGAAGCCACAAGCGTTTATCCCAAGCGATAAAAAAAACCTTAATCAAATACCAAAAATCGGCGATTCGCACTGCGTTTGGCTATTACAACTGGTGGTCCCGAAAGAGTTGAGAAACCACGTGATATGCACCCTCCTATTGTTACACTGACTTGCATTGCTTCATATAATTTTGTTCAAAACACTTCCAACTAATTTTTCGATGTTGTAGAAAATAAGATCTACAGGTCTTTGACGTTCTCGAAAGCAAAGCTTGTAGCGTACTTCTACCTGATGCTACAATCACGACCATTTTGGCTCAAATTGAAGTTAATGTTTCCTACGAACCATTAAACTGGAAAACCTTATTGTCGTTCTAATGATTCAAACTAAGCGTGAGTATTCAATATTGAATATACCTTTGGAAGATTTCATGCATTCATAACAAGTCTTGAAAAAAGGAAGAACTGTGCATCTGGATTTCAAAATCAAACAGTTTCAAAAAAAACTAGAAGGTGTTTTGAAGGAAGAGAAAACTGCTATGCTGACTCTAAAAGCAATGTTTTCGAAATCCATAATACTTTGTAGACAAGCTTTATCATAGTCATTGAGAATGGTGCATTCTTGTAAACCTTATGTTATAGTAGTTTTATGGAAGAAAGCTAACTTAGAATTTTGAACGTTTTCAACTCTATTTTTCGCAATGGTACGATGTTTCCAATATACCTAAGAGAACTGAGTGGTGAGCAACAATACTGTCCCAGAAGGGAGTCGAATCCACGCTTCATCCATACCGTAGACGCGTGCTACCGCTATACCATTGAGGTACATTTGCGCAGCCACTCATTGTTCACCACTCAGATCTCCTAGGTTCATTGGAAACATCGTACCACTGCGAAAAATGTAGTCAAAAACATTAGAAATTATAAGTATTATATTTCACAATGGCTGTCATCTCAATCGGGTCTATAAAGCAGGATCTCATACCCGACCAAACCTGTTAAAAGCTGGTGGCTGGTAGCTAAAATAGAGATGTTGTAGAATAAGTAGCGACGCAAATGCACCTCGGTAGTGTAGTGGTAACACGCACCCTCAGCCAGGATGAAACGGGTTCGACATCCGTCTGAGGTCCTAGTTTTGCTCACCACTCAATTCTCTTAGGGGCATTAGAAATTAAATCTCAAACTATTCTGAACTTTTTCCAACTTTATGTTGTAAAAAAAAAGTTACCTCATCAAGACTTGTAGTTTCTTACAACGGAAGTGAACCAAGGCTATTGCAACATCGCCGGCAAGGCGATGACAGGAACTGCGGTATGACGCACAAAATGAAGTGCATGCCAACAAACATGAACTTGAAAATAACTCCTGTTCACGCCAGTCTCAGAAACTCTCATGGTTCGAGCAACTTTCATTCGTATACAAAATCATTCTGCAAAACAAAACTGTCTTATGACAAATTGGTCAGAAACGATGTGGGAAAGTGTGGCGAACAAAGCGGGCCTAATGCTGGCCTCGGGTTCATTTGTCGCACTTTTTTTCAGCATTCGCTGCTTTAGAGGAAACTGAAATTAAACTATAATGTGTTCAAGAAGAACAATTTTTTTTCAATCGATATCCATTGTAGCACTACAACAATTAAACTGGAAAATCACATGGGTGTTGATTCATTAGAGGAGAAATGTCATAAATTTCAATATATTGCCTGTCTGAGAAGTGCTTGAGAGCTCAGAGTTCGGAAAAGGATAATATCTCAGAGTTACGCTCTTAACCCTTCAGAGCATGGGTACAGTTAAATTAGCTAAGAGGAATCTCCTTTTCTGTAAAGATCCTCTGATGTCCCTTGTAAACTATCACTCATAAATTATGATAGAAAAGTTTGCAACTTTTAGTTTGCCGTTCTTCACGTGAAGCTATTGTAATTCTCAGAAAAGGCCTGTAAAATGATAGGTAAGGGAATCATAGTTGTTCAGTGAAAGTGTTGCAAACGATGTGTATGGATTTATCGCACTTACTACGAAAAGTGATAGGCCGTAAAATCAAAAGCCATCGAAAAAGATGCCAATAATTATTCTTCAAAATAAACATAATCTGGAATTTTCTTGAAGCTGAGAGAGCACTTCTATGGAAATTCTTAGAAGTTGGTGGTGGAAAACGGTGAGACCTTCGTATAGATCAATCTCCTCGCTAGCTTATTTTAACAGGCAAAATTTGTTTTCTTTACACTTTTTATAGTCTGTAGATAGATTATGGGGCACAGATACCGTGTCAGGTGTCAGCCAAGAAAGAATGCCACCGCGCAGGATTCCTCGCTTTGTAATAAAAAAATCTGCTTTCAGATTTTCTTATACGTCACTTGATTTAACTTAACACGCCAGCAATAACCCAATCCACATGTTCGACAGGCGGTGGGCCACGGACTCGATTTATTACAACCCTGAAGTAGACGAAGATGGGCGAACACTAGCTCGATGGCTTGTTAGCAGCAACTATTAGCTTAATTAGCAAAAGATTATAGAATATTCATGCGAAGGTCTAAATGAAGTTGATTTTAAAATAGATCAAATCTGTAATTTTACGGATTTCTTAGAAACGCAGTTTCAGCTTATAGGCTGGCAGATAACTTGATCTGCCGCTTTATACAATGAATGGCAGTTACAACCGTTTAATCTAAAAGTCCCAGTCGCATGACGAAGTGCTGCTATACATGAAGGAATATGCTTCGTGACACACACATTTCGAAAAATGTGGTACTATACAGATAAAAGTGACCGGACCTACTGACGATTCGCCGAATGAGAAAACAAGTAGATACTACTGATAGTGCTTTTCAGTGTAAAGATATAATGCTTAGTGAGCTACTAGTAAGAAGGAGAACGGTCACTCTTACACGCAATAATTATTTGGCCTTTCCGTAGGTCTTTACTAGAGCAAAAACACTAAACTCATTAGCCAGAAGTATTTAGATTTCTCAACGACATGATTCAAAGCATGTGTCTTAACACATTTCTGCCATCTCTTAAACAATAAATCAATACCGTGCTCATAAAACCCGCCATCCTTGAATTCAACGAAAGTTGTGAATCCTTAACGCAAATAATTAATGTTTCAGAACTTCTTCTTGTTCAGCAAGTGCCCCAGAAGACAAAAAGTCAAGACTGTAAGGCGGATGATCCAGCAACTCCCAACCCGGTTCGGTCAATTTCTCCTTGCCCCTTCAATAGCATGCATTGCGTATTTTGAGGTAGGATGAGACTGCGGCGCCGTATACGTGGCAGGGTACGACTGAAGCAGTCTAGGTGCTCACAGTAGCACTTGTCTTTGATTGTCTCTATGGTTGGTAGCAAATCCCAGTGAATAGGCCAGGTATAGTTTTCAAAAGATGATGTGCCTAGCCTGATAACATGTTTTGAACCGCTTGCTATGTAGTCTGATAGGGCACTTATACAGTGCTAGACAGGCGTCTGTTTTCGTCCTTCCGCAGTCCTCAATAGCACAGTCTTCCTCGATTCACCTGATCCCTTTTGCATATAATCCTATATAACGAACCAACGGCGCGTAATAGATCCCTACAAGACAGACTCAAAACATGTTATCAGATTATTTGTTCCAAGAGGGATCTAAATAAATCGTCGAGGGCAGGGTATGAATCATTCTACAAGCCGCAAACACTTCAATATGATCACTACAATTTCGCGGTAGTTTGTCAACTGCGGCATTCGACGGCATTCATGAAAACAAGCTCCTAAATTGGCGTTGAAACAGGACCCATATTCAAATAAGTTTATGATTGCGAGGGAAAAAATTAGACGTTAGGAGTACTGAATTCCGCACAGTAAGATGGGATGATAGATCGTGTAAAAAATGTAGAAAATATACATATATTGCCAGTTTCAAACACATGTAACGTGGTGATTGCAGATCACTCAATCGAAAAATTACCAATGAGGCCAAGACAATTATCGATGGAAATAACGATCGGAAAAGGATTTGACTGTGCATGGTTTGGAAAGCACTTCAGTTTATGAAAAACCCTTTCCTAGTTAGAGTTAAGATATCGAATAGATGTATGGGTTAGCATGGTGGGAAAGTTTGAGCATTGCCTACATAGGGCTTGAGTTGGGTTTTTTGAAAGGTAGCTGACACAACAAAATCATGCTTGATTACGCTGTCTGGCTTCGATGTACTGGGGAATATTCAGCAGAGGCGGAACTTATGTATACGTGATGAGATTGGTTGATAGTAGAATATGAATAAATCCCTCTTCCGCGTAGCAATCAAATGTCTTCTAGGTGCATGCACAAGTACTGTAAGTAACTGCTCTCTTCCGATTTATACATTGTGTTGCTTATAAAAAGTGAGTCCCTGTTTCTATCGTAAATTATAAGAAAACCGGAGAAGTAGTTGGGTGAAATATGAGTTCGAATTCCACTTGATGCAAATGTTTTTGCACATCACTCTTTATCATTGGATATAAAAAACCGTACGTTTGCTTTTCCGATATTATTAAATTTTCACTTTAATCCTCTTCACTTTTCAATGGATGAGTTTTTAGTTCTATTGAGGCAAACATTCTACTGAAAAAACGTGATACTTTTCCGCTGGCTAGACGGAATGGAGAAACGATCCTCTCGCTGGATAAAGTCGTTTCATATGAGCGATAGTAATCAATCGAAGACTTAAATCTCGGCTAGTGATCAACGTAACACGTTTTTTGTAGGACTCTTTCTATAGTGCTTCAACGAAGGGAAGACATTTGCGTTTTACATGCGCATATCCCTCGCAAGACAGAACTCATTACTCAAATTGTAAGTAACCATTCGATAGCGTAAGATTCGATAATTCCAACACTGTACTTGATTTCAGGAAAGAGCGCCTCATTGCACTGCAGCAGAGATATTATTTGCTCACATAAGCACGCATTTGTTTCTCGGCTGATCTGCGGGCCGAGGGAGGAGGCATAGGAGGGGCCCGCCCGCGAATTTAAAATAGAACAACCTGATCGATGGCGCTTAGACAGCACACATGTGAAGTGTGATTTTCGTCAGTCAATCAGAAATTTTTCTCCGCTTCGCAGGAAACTCAAGATAAAGCATATGATTCTGACCACAAAATGATTTCCTTTTCACGTTCATATAATTTATGTGCTCCCAGCGAAGTGATAGCAAAATTGCATGGTCGATATCACGCATAATTTTATTTGAATTCCACACCTTAACAGAAGGTGTTTTCAAGAGATAGCTGCGCAGCTCAGTAGCCAGAAATCTAGACTTTCGAATGTTATCAACATATTTCTAAAAAAGCTTTTGTCCAGTGGAAAGGATTGTTTCTTCATAGAACTGGAAACCTTTTATCTATCATCTGTTGACCGTTAAGTAAATCGAACGTGGCAGCAGTAAAACTTCCATATGTTTTAGCTCAAGAGCAATATACACCGAATTTATTGACCAGAAGTAGCGGCGCGCAAGATTAATAGAGCTTCCTGGGGACGGTCGGAGAGCAACTGATGCTCCACACTGTTCTCTCCAGCTCTAGACTTCATGAACCACTTCTTAGCCATACTTTCTTTGAGCGTATTAACGCCCAGGTTCCATGAATCCTGTGCGTCGCTCCATTAGCATTTTTCATTTACGCGGTATTCGTAAACGGTTGTCAAGCGAATTTCACTAATAAATTTGATGTTTGCTGTAGCGCCAAGACTTATGGAATTGCTTAATATTTCTTGCTCGTAAAAGTGACCTAGTGGGTCTTCTTCTTTGAAGTAGTTTCTCTAAATGTTTTATCTTTACACTGAAAAAAGCACTATCAGTTATTCACGCGTCTACTTGTTTCTGAATCGACGAATCGTCAGCAGGTGCTACTACTTTATCTCAGTAGCACCACATTTTTCGAAATATGTGTACCACGGTCGATATTACTTCATGTATAACAGCAATTGTTATGCGACTTGGACATCTAGATTGAACGATTGTGACGTTCATGTAGCGTGTATAGTGGCAGTGAAGTTGACCATGAATGGGACGTTGAACCCACCTCTCATGTCTAAGCACGCCTCACGAGTCTGATAGGACAACTATGCCACTGAAAACACATCGACTGTTTCCCACCTTTTTCTTTCTCTTTATTAATGTC